GTAATCATCTGGGGGAAAGAAGGTTTTTGAAAACTATACTCTCGGCCGGGCGCACTGGCTCATGCCTGCAATCCCAACACTTTGGGAGGCCGAGGCGGGCGGATCACTTGAGGTTGAGTTCATGACCAGCCTGGCCAACATGGTGAAACCCCATCCCTACTAAAAATACAAAAATTAGCTGGGGTGGTGGCGCATGCCTGTAATCCCAGCTACTTAGGAGGCTGAGGCAGGAGAATCACTTGAACCCGGGAGGCGGAGATTGCAGTGAGCCGAGATTGCACCACTGCACTCCAGCCTGGATGACAGAGCGAGACTCTGTCTCAAAAAAAAAAAAAAAAAAACAAACAAACCACCACCAACAAAACTATACTCTCCTAATGGCCCAACTCTGTAACACAAAACCAACAAGTATAGTGATGCTATTTCTATATTGTTTTCAAATTTGCAAATCATATTTAATATAGATTTCTGTTTCAACCTCCAGTACTCTTTAGGTAGATAGAATAGGATGATATTTCCTCTGCTTTACTGATGAATTAACATGCCGGAGCTCACCTATGTGGCAGAGAGGAGGCTAAAGCTACATTTTCTAAATCTTTTTGTAGTGGAAGGAAAATAATGTGGTATAGACTATGAGCTTTGGAATCAGGCAGACCTGGGTGCAATCTTAGTTCCATTATAAGCAATGTGGCCTTGAACAACTTACTTTTTCTCTGAATTTAAATTTTCTTATCTGTAAAATGGAGATAATGGTACTTTCCTCCTGGGGTTGTTAAATGAGATAATTTTAAAAATATGCCTGGCACATAGTTGCTGGGTAAATATACCACCTCAAGGACAAGTCGAAAAAAACAGCTTAAGAAATGAGAATTTAGCTTAGGGAGCACATGCCAAAGTTGAGAGCTGATCCCAATTAATGAGTAGAATATTGATGGAATTTTGAGTTTGTGGGTTGCTTAGCAACCAAAACTCACTCAATACCACTGACTGCCCGGGTTGTTGTTTTTAATCAAAGCACTAAACTGTTCTTAAGGAGTTCAAGGTTGTGAACAGACAAAAGGATTCCCTTATGCATTTGGGGTAGTGCCAGGCATTTTGAAAAAGTGATGCCCCAGCTCCTCTGTGTGTTTGCACTTAAACATCTTGGACATTTGGATCTCCCCAGTTCTGTGCCCATAGATGACAGAAGATGTTACAGCATCTGTTACATTGGATAGAGTGAGAAGGGAGAAGGCAGAGTGCTTGCACTTCTATACCAATGTATTAAGCCAAACTTATGGAATGCCAGGGCTCAGAAATACAAAAGCATTTGTCTTTGCCCCTGCTGCCCTTTAGAATTTCAGTCTAGGAGAGGAAACCAGTCAATATTGAATAATACAGCAAATTATTCATGAGCAGCTCTCTGTGTCCCCAGCAATATTCTAAGAGTTACAAACTGAACAGTACAAGAACATATTACAGTAAGTCTGAAATATCCATGGTTAGGATTTTTATTTTCTTGGCAAAGCAGCCCTGGAAGAATATCCCAGTTAGGTTCTCCAAAACATTAATATTTGATTCACAGTCTTGAGAGCTGGCACTGAATGTTGGAGAGGGTCTAAAGAGGGGCGGAGGGGAACTGGAGCTCCATGCCACCACCTCTTTTACCTGAAGCCAGAGACTCAACCAATCTGTGCCCTTCTTTTCTCATTTGTAAGCTGGGCGTAATGACTTAGATTCTGCCTCCCTTGTGGCAATGAGTGTGATGCAATGAGATAATAAATGCATAAGTTCTATTGCAGTAAATGCAGTTTCTAGCTAATTTGCCAGCAGGTTTACACTGCATGTCATTGAGCACCCTTGTATCTGCATTTACATTTCCTATTCCTGTATAACTCATAATCTTAACAATTTAAAGAGAAAAAAAAACAGATGAGCTTGGAACAACTGTGTTTATTTGCACTTGAGTTTGTCTTCATCATTTGTAGCTCAGTGTGCTAACTTCTTTTGCAGTGAAGATCAACTTTAGTGCTTAGGAAAGAAATGCATTGTGCCACTTTGGCATGTGAACATTTATTTACGCAAAACATAACCTCAGGCCTACAGGCCTTTAAGGCAGACAGCTGGTTGATGAATCATGTTGAACATTCATATAGTGCTGCTGGCACATGTCAGAAGGACACTCCTGCTCATCACCTGCCCCTGTCAGTTCTTCCACTTCTAATAAAGCATATCTGTTTTGGTGACCAAATAAAAACACACCAAGTGGAGAAGGGCTGGGTGTGGAGTAATTTAATCAGGGCAAGTCAGCACACTGCATTGAGCGGTACAGTATCAAGGATAAAAAGATGGGTTGGTAACAGCTGAATGAAACGAAGTAGATTAGAAAAGGCGGAAGCACAGTTCCCCTTATAATCATAATGGGTCATGACCCTGGAATGTAGGAGCCCCAATATATCCTACAAATCAAGATTTTTAAGGAGACAGGATTCCCAAAAGTTCCCTTCTGAATTGCCACGAACGTTTTACATGGCCTTTCTCTATTAGCATCATTTAACATTTCGCTGAGGAATATAAATTTTTAAGGAAGTTCAAACCAAAGTTCAGAGCTCCACTAGCAAATCTTTTTAATACTGGCTTTCGTGGGTGTGTTTGGTATCCTGAAGAATTGATTGATTTAAAATGCCCTACTTTTGAAACAGCAGGGAGACTGACATTTGCAGCCTGGTATTTTGCAGTTCTCACTACTCATTGTATTTTTAAAATAATTTTTTCTTTGTTGTCATAGCCAGTAGAATAGAATTTTGTGCTTTGTTTAAAAGAGGAGAAACTGAATATGTTCAGGATGCTGGCCTGTCTTGAACTTCATCACCATCATCTCATAGATTGATTGGTGGGGAGAATAATTAGGGATATGCAGGATGTTTGAAATGTAATTGAAAACAAGTAAAAACAACAATATGACTATAAGTTGTAAGTCTAAGTTTTTTTTCTTTTTTTTTAAATGATTCACCTGGCAGTGTTCTTAAAGTCCTTACTTACTGAGAAAAGAATCACTATATAAGATGAAAAATCAGGAACTTCAACAACAGCTCCTTTATTTCCATTTCTACTTCTGTTGGTGATTACACTGTTCCATCTTTGTTTACTCCAGCTAAGTCATTTTCACCTCTGTGTATTTTTTCCCCGATGGGGCAAGATCTGTGATATCTGATAGTTTATTAACAGGTGTGCTGGAAATAATCTATTTCAAAAATAAAACACTAAATATAGCACACAAGTTCAAGGCTTTTGAATGTTACCATGGTTTTAAAAAAATCAATGTCATGAATGCTTTACACTGAAATCATTTATTGTTAGGAAACCGGGTGGCAAATGATACATATATCCTGTAGCTCTGTTATCATGGCTAATGCTCTCCTGACTCAGATTACATATTAGCATTTCCACCATATGGCTGAAAGGCTAGAGAATATATGTGCAGAGGAACAGAGCTGGTAATATTTTTGACCATCTGGTAAATAAATACGTAAGTAACAGGAATATTAATATTTATTTAGTCATATGATGCAAACTTTAACCTGAAATAACTACTAATACAACAAAGTAGTACTACATTTATGTTTCTCAAATAATTTCAATCTAATTTATTAAACATTTTCATAGTCAATTAATGCTCTTAGAATGTGACTTCTAATTATGTTTCTTATGTTTATTGATACAGTAGGGTTCCTTATCATGCCAAATTTAAAAATCTTTCATGAGAGGCCACATGATTGGACCCAGCACATGGACATGAGTGCCAAAGTTCTGCTCTGCCAGTGACCACTGTGTGGCCTGGGATAAATTACCTGACTTCTCTAAGCCTCAAATTCATGTGTAAGTGGTGAATAACCTATTATCAGATAGTATCCCTCAAAGGGTGGGCCATGGAGAACCATGGATTAACACATCAGAATCACATGGGGAGCTTAAAATACAAACATCTGGGCCCTGCCTGCAACGATTCTGATTCATGTATCTGGGAGCAGTCCATGAATCTGCAATTTTTATATATATATACACACACACACGTATACACACACACATACACACATACATATACGTGTGTGTGTATGTGTAAATATATATATATATTTTTAATACAGAGTCTTACTCTTTCACCTAGGCTGAAGTGCAGTGGTGCGATCTCGGCTCACTGAAGCCTCTGTCTCCCAAGTCCAAGTGATTCTTGTGCCTCAGCATCTTGAGTAGCTGGGATCCCAGGCGCACGCCACCACGCCCGGGTAATTTTTATATTTTTAGTAGAGACGGGGTTTCGCCATGTTGGCCAGGATGGTCTCAAACGTCCGGACTCAAGTGATCCACCCGCCTCAGCCTCCCAAAGGGATAGGATTCCAGGCACATGCCACCTCGCCCGGCCCACATTTTTAGTCACTGTCCCAAGTGATTCTGAGGTATACTGAATCACTCCCATAGAGACGAGATTAATATAGAGCACTTAGCTACCTTGAAAAATATGTAGCTAATTTTAATAAATATACTTTTTAGACCATAGAAATTTAACACCCAACAGCACTTGTGCTTAAAATACTCTGAGTTCGGCCGGGCGCAGTGGCTCATGCCTGTAATCCCAGCACTTTGGGAGGCCGAGACGGGCAGATCACGAGGTCAGGAGATCGAGACCATCCTGGCTAACACGGTGAAACCCCGTCTCTACTAAAAAATACAAAAAACTAGCCGGGCGAGGTGGCGCCTGTAGTCCCAGCTACTCGGGAGGCTGAGGCAGGAGAATGGCGTAACCCGGGAGGCGGAGCTTGCAGTGAGTTAAGATCCGGTCACTGCACTCCAGCCTGGGCGACAGAGCCAGACTCGTCTCAAAAAAAAAAGAAAAAAAAAAATACTCTTCAGTTCATAGAAAATAGGAGGTCAGCTTGCTAAGTAATGCTGCTGATCATTAAGTATACCTCACAATTCTTCTTTTTGTTTAATTAGATCCTTTACCTTTTTTTCCCTTGCATAGGAAATAGCAAAATATTTGCGGACTGGATCCAAATCAGGAGCCCAGATGAACTTAAAGAAGCGAGCCTGGAATTCTTAGTTTTTCAAGATCCATACACACGAAGCCTTTAATCAGCACCAACTCCAGTGTCCAGGTTTTTTCTGGTTTTGTGAAGACTGAGCAAAACTCTCATGATGGAAAGAAAACCAAAGGACTTAGTTACCTGTTTCAGTGTCATCTAAAGTCAACTGAAAAGTGAAGCAGGCAGTAATATAGCCATGGAAAGAAATTCAACTTTATGGAAGAACCTAATAGATGAACACCCAGTCTGCACAACCTGGAAACAAGAGGCTGAAGGAGCCATTTATCATCTTGCCAGTATTTTGTTTGTAGTAGGTTTCATGGGTGGCAGTGGATTCTTCGGGCTCCTTTATGTCTTCAGTTTGCTGGGGTTGGGTTTTCTCTGTTCTGCTGTCTGGGCTTGGGTAGATGTCTGTGCAGCTGACATATTTTCCTGGAATTTTGTACTGTTTGTCATCTGCTTCATGCAATTTGTTCATATTGCATATCAAGTTCGCAGCATAACCTTTGCCCGAGAATTCCAAGTGCTGTACAGCTCCCTTTTCCAGCCCCTGGGGATCTCTTTGCCTGTCTTCAGAACGATTGCTTTGAGCTCTGAAGTGGTTACTTTGGAAAAGGAACACTGTTATGCCATGCAGGGGAAAACTTCCATTGATAAACTCTCCTTGCTTGTTTCAGGAAGGTTTGTACCTTTGGTGCTTGCATGTCTTTCCTCAAGTATTAGTTGTTTGTATTTCTTTCCACTATATTTTTCCATCTCAGTATTGCATAGTCTTGGGTGGCATTTAGCACCCTGAGGCTTGAGGAAGTCTTCGATACATGAGTCACAGACATAGCCGTTTAGAGTATACGGCATTATTTACTTGAAGCAGAAAATAATCAAGAGCCTTAATATTTCATCTTAGACATCAAATTACATGAATCTTAAAATTAAAGTATGAATTTGTTTATCTGGATATGGTATTTGTTTCCTAGATAATTACTGAAAGTCAAGAAGAGGATGATGTCAGCTTGAATTAATAGAATGCTTATATTGGCGTGCAAAGTATTTTAAAGACTCTTTGATAGGGCATTCTTTTAAGTAACAGAGAACATTTAAATTTTATGATTATCTTTTTTTCTTCAGTAAATTCTAGCAATTGTCCATAAGAAACAGGCTAGGGGGACACTTCAGGCACATACATAGAAATCTAAACTTTGAAAACAGGCCAAGTGTGGTGGCTCACACCTATAATCCCAGCACTTTGGGAGGCCGAGGCAGGATAATCACCTGAGGTCAGTGGTTCAAGACCACCCTGGCCAACATTGTGAAACTCCCGTCTCTACTAAAAATACAAAAACAAAATTATCCAGGCATGGTGGTATGTGCCTGTAGTCCCAGCTACTCGGGAGGGTGAGGCAGGATAATTGCTTGAGCCTGGGTGGGAGGCGGAGGTTGCAGTGAGCTGAGATCGCGCCACTACACTCCAGCCTAAGCAACAGAATGAGACACTATCTCAAAAATAAAATAAACTTTGAAAACAAAGTTTGGGAGAGGAAACAATAGTGGGATTACTCATGGTTTTCAAAAAGTTAAAACTTTGGCTTACAGGCCAAGCGTGGTGGCTCATACCTGTAATCCCAGGACTTTGGGAGGCCAAGGCTAGTGGATCACTTGAGGTCAGGAGTTCGAGACCAGCCTGGCCAACATGGTGAAACCCCATCTCTACTAAAAATACAAAAAACTTAGCTGGACATCGTGGTACACGCTTGTAATCCCAGCTACTCAGGAGGCTGAGGCATGAGAATCGCTTCAACCTGGGAGGAGGAGGTTGCAGGGAGCCAAGATCATGCCACTGCACTCCACGCTGGGCAACAGAGTGAGACTCCGTCTCAAAAAATAAATAAATAAAAATTTGGTTAACAGAGGTACTTGCAGAACTCCTCTATGTTCTTAAATGTTTCCCTACTTAATGTAAAATCTGACAGAGTCCATTAAAACGTTTTATTGAAGCATAATATGCATGCATAAATAGATATATATCATAAATGTACAACTTGATGCATTTTCTGAATTTCACTCAATATTCCAGAATCCTGACTGTGTAAGGAACATGAGAACATGAATCTCACAGGATATTATGTCACTTATTATAATGTATGAATTTAATATTTGCCTTTCAAAATCGTAAAGGGCAAAAGAGTCATCAGGGATCTGAAATACACTTCCTCTACCCCCTACCCCTCCCCAATTATGTGCTGTCTTTCTCTTTCCCTTATAAAAGTTGTTCCTGTGTTTTGATAGGATCAGAGTGACAGTTGATGGCGAATTTCTGCATTACATTTTCCCCCTTCAGTTCCTGGATTCTCCTGAGTGGGATTCACTGAGACCCACAGAGGAAGGCATTTTTCAGGTAAGGGATACCAGACCACACAGTTAGCACTCCCTCTTTCAAACAGATGTTTGTTTAATAATAGGTAACCAAACAGAACAGTGGATAAGGCAAGAATATTTTAAGACTTTGGAATGCACTTTGCAGCATACATGACTTCCCAATTCTGGTGGACTCCTGATGATTAATGCTACTTTACAGGTCCAGTGATGAGAAGAGCAGGTGCTACATATGACAGAAAGGAGGCTGTGATCAATACTTTAAGCTATACTTTGCATAACTGCATATTTAGGAATTGAAATATAATTGAGATTTGACTAAACACTGCTAATGCGACAGTCTAGAAAACATCAAGAACAAAAACTGCTCTTATTAAAAAATAAATGATTTTTAAAATTTAAAATGCCAGTGGATTTCACTTGTTTTCCAGCAACAGAATGCTAAACTAACTGTCATTACTCTGCTGCCACGTCTGGCAGTTTTGAAAGATAATCATTTCAGCAGGTTTCATTTATTTCGTTACACAGTTTTCTTATAAATATATGTGTGTATGCAGCAAACTCAAGTATGTATGCAAATTAGGTATATACATTCTATTTTCTACTACAGAAACTGCATTAGGGTTAAATGTCTGCAGTCTTCAGAATTGACTTGGAAATATTTCTGTAACATTAGTCAACTTTTTAAAAAAAATATCAAGTAGTTCTCCCTTCAATAAAAGAAATATAGATACTGGAACTTAGAAAAACAGATAGATTGAAGATGGCTAGAACATTTTGATTATTCATATTATAAATTATATATGTAGTAACAAATTTTATAGTTTCGATTTTTGCAATATATTGTAGGTCAGTGGGCTTTTTCCACCTAAAAAAAAGGCAGCAGGTGAAATTAATTTAACATTTGGGGTAGAAAAAATGTGGCAGAAGTTTTCTTGCTTCCACATCTGTTTATGTGTGGTCTTGTGTTTTCTAGGTAACCCTCACTGCAGAAACTGATTGTCGATATGTGTCTTGGAGGAGAAAGAAATTGTATCTGCTCTTTGCTCAGCATCGTTATATCTCCCGCTTGTTTTCAGTGCTAATTGGCAGTGACATTGCAGATAAACTCTATGCCTTGAATGACAGGGTATATATAGGAAAAAGATATCACTATGATATTCGGCTACCCAACTTCTATCAAATGTCAAGTCCAGAAATACGCAGATCACCCCTGACACAACATTTTCGGAATTCCAGACGATACTGTGATAAATGACATCAAAGTCTGAAATTTATAAGTATAAAAAAAGACTCTCTCTTCATCATTCCCCAAATGAAATAGGAAAATACAAAAAAAAAGAGCTCCCTAATATTTTTATAAATCAAATTCAGAAGTCAGATACCATTGCTAACTGTTTTATTCCTTTCAACAACTGCATTGTAAATAAATTTTACAAATTTGTCTTGTATTTCGTATTGTTATAATTGAGGAGGGGGTGGATAACTATGGGCAGTTTGCCGTTTTCTGCATCAAAACTGGGAGAATGAAATTCCACATTCTCAGTTCTTTTCTCACATTTACTCAAATGCATTGTCTTGCCCTATAGACTCAGCGGTTGCTTCTCAAGAAGCAGCCAGCAAGTATTCTCAGCCTGAGGGTGGGTTGCTACTGTCCACATAAGCATTTCCAGAATTCACTTTTTTGCTACAACCTCCAGTGAAAGCAAGATGTATTACTGTGGTGGGCAGCAATTATTTATTTTAAATGCGCAGTTACTTGATATGGCTAAAAAGTAGAATAAATGCAAGAGATAATATGTGAATCTTGAAGCCTATTTTATTGCTACAAAATAAAATAACATTTAAAAAGAAGCATTTGGTGGAAAACAAAGCTGCCTGATCATTACTAAAAGAGTACTCCTAAACCAATAGTAAAAATGTTGCATGGTGTTTCAGTTTCAGGTGTTCAGCGGAAAGAGCTTTCAGTGGTGTGAATGGGCAGCGAGGGTTCACCGGGACAGCACAGCCCATCACACAAACACAAGGGTCTGCCTCACAGCAAGTGCTTCAGCTTTGTGAATTTAAGAAAGAACCCTAGTTGCAGATCTGATCCCTTCCTCTGGAAAACTGGTTTTCTGAAGATCACATGCAGCCTATATTCTCTGATACATTATCAGATATTTAACAAGTATATATTGAGCACCTTCTGTGGCTCTAGGTGCTGACCTGGGCATGGGGATACATCAGGTAACAGATGGAGATCCCACCCCTCATAGAGCTTACATTCTGGGGATGTGGGAGACATAATAAAGTAAATCAGGAAAAACCTGTATTTAGAAGGTGATAGTACCAAAGGGAGTGATAAATTAGAGAAGATGGGTAAGAAAGGGCATTGCAATTTTCATAGGGTGGTCAAGGAAAGCCTCCACAAGAAGGAATGTTTGAATGAAGACCTGAAAGAGGCAATGGAAGAATCCATGCAGATATCCGGGGGAAGAGCAATTTGGGCAAAGGGGACAGCAACTGAGCAGGCCCTTAGGCATGAGCATGACTGGCCTGTTCCAGGAGCAGCTGGAAGGCTAGCGTGGCTGGCACAGAATGAACAGAAACTAACTGCGGGCGGACTGGGTAAGGCCTAAATAAGTCATGGTAAGGATTTTGATTTTTTTCTAAGAGTGACCAGAAGCCATTGTAGGGTCTGAAGTAGAATAGTGATATGATCTGCCCCATGTTTTAATAGGATCACTCTGGCTAGCCTGCTGAGAATAGGCTAGGGGGAGGAGAAAAAAGAGTGAACTTGGAAAGTAAAATGAGGATTAAGAGTGAGATGCCTGCTAGACACTGAAATAGAGTAGATAGCTGGAGATAAGAGCCTGGAGTTCCAAAGAAAAGTCTGGGCTCTAGACAGCTTTGGGAGTATTTAGCATATACATGGTGTTTAAAGCCATTAGTCTCCATGAGATGGCCAAGAGTGAGTGTAGATTCAGAAGAAAAATGGTCTGAAGGCTTGCCTTGGAGCACTCCATTTTTAAGGGAACAAAGAGATGGGGAAGAGTCAGCAAAGGATTTGAGGAGGAGCAGCCAATGAGGTGGAAAGAAAATCAGGAGAGCCTGGGATCCTGGAAGCCAAGCAAAGAGAATTTCTGGGAGAAGGGAGTGATGGAACTGTCTCAGATGTGGCTGAGAGGCCTGAGAATGAACCACTGGGTTAAGCAACATGGAAGTCATGGGGGAACTTAACAAGAGCAGTTTTGGTGGAGTGAGCAGGAACGAAGACTAAAGCAGGCTGAAGGAGAATGAGAGGCACGAAGTTGGAACAGTAAGGGTAGGTAAGGTTTTCAAGGAGTTTTGATGTGAACCGAAAAAGAAATGGTCAACAGCCTGGGCAGCAAGTGGGGTCAAGAGAGGGGATTGTTACTGATTTTCAGATAACATGGCACATTTGCATGCAGACGGAAATGATCCAGAAGTGAGGAGTGAACTGCGGGAGTGATGACCTTGAGCAGGTGATGGGATCCAGTGGCCTTAAACAGAAATGTGGACAATTCTTCATTAATAAAAAGAGAAGAGTATCTGGGAGAGTAGCTGCTGGCAAGTGGGAGATGTGGTGAGAGGTTGTGGTATACAAACACAATTTTCAGCCACAGAAAATATAATGAAATACTGTCATTTCCAACGACATGGATGGAACTGGAGGACAATATTTTAAGTGAAATAAGCCAGGTACAGAGAGACAAATATTGCATGTTCTCACTCATTTGTGGGAGCTGAAAAAAAAGAAACTGAATTCATGGAAATAGAAAGTAGAATGATGGTGACTAGATACTGAGAAGGGTAGTGGATAAAGGGGGTATGAAGTGGAATCGTTAATGGATACAAAAATACCATTAGATAGAATGAATAAGATCTAGCATTCAGTAGCACAATAAATAGGGTGACTATAGTTAACAAATTATTGCATATTTTTAATAACCAAAAGAGTAGAATTATAATGTTCCCAATGCAAAAAAATGATAAACGCTTGAGGTGACAGGTATTCCAATTACCCTGACTCAATCATTACACAGTGTATACCTGTATCAAATACCACATGTACCCCAGAAATATATACAACTATTATGTACCCATAACAATTGTTAAATGTTTTAAAAAGATGTTTCTTCCCATTTTAGGCAGTTATAGTTTCTTCTTCTTAATTTAATTAATTAATTTATTTATTTTTGCAAAGAGGTCTCACTCCATCACCCAGGATGGAGTGCAGTGGCATGACCACGGCTCATTGCAGCCTAGAACTCCCAGGCTCAAGTGACCCTCCCACCTCAGCCTCCCAAGTAGCTGCGACTACCATGGTATGTGCCACTAC